CATGAGGCCTCGGGAGAGGATTTATGAATGGCAGTGAAGCACCGCAACTGAAGCTGGTAGATCACGTGATAGTAACAACATGGGGGATGTAGTATGTCCAAATTTTGTTCAAACTATCCATACTCATACTATATAGAACATAATTTTTTAATGGTCATGAAGTAAGTTTGAGTTCAAATGTGGTACCTACTCGGACAGTAAGTGATTTTGGATGTCCTGCAGAGTTTAGCTCTAACCAGCTCCAACACACCTGCCTGGAAGTTTCCGGCACTCTTAAGGACTTTCATTAGCTGGTTCAGGTGTGTTTAATTAGGGTTTGAGCTAAACTCTGCAGGACAATGGCCCTCCAGGTGCTGCGTTTGACACCCCTGCCCTTTTTAGCCATTTCCATTATAACACTTTACATTATACATTTCACATATGACAAAGTACCAAAAAGTACAATGGTGTTTTGGACATGAACCATTTACCATGTAAATATCATACTTTTTTGTGAGAGGTATTAAATTGGTTGCAGCTATTATTAGCAAAGGCTAGCCATACCTCTAGAGACATTATCATAAAATAAATGATCATTAATATAGTCACAGGCTAATTTTTGTCATAGTGTAGCGGTTTCTGTAGTAATTATATACTATACTTTACAAACATTACATTTTATGTCAATAAAAGACACATTTATGAAATTTCAACATAATTTATGTTTATAATGTCAGTATTGCTGAATTAGGAGTTTATGACTGTATGAATACATAGACTCCAGCACTCAGCTAGGCTGCCATTGTTACAATAGGTCGTGGCATTATTTAAAAAAAAAGTAGGCCTACCTGTACTTAAGTAGTTATATCAGTAGATTTTAGAACATATTTTTATATTGAGCTATTTTAACGTGAGTCAGTTTTGCTTATGAAGATTCTATACTTTTTACAACACTGTAATGATTTGTGTGACCGGCTGACTATACATTATACTTTGCTTAATTGTACAGTAAAGCATTCAATACTTCTATTACAGTTTATAACCAAGCCTTCACATTATGATTTTATTATGGTTTTATTAGGCATCTGGCTCTGAACACCAAACTATTCCTGAGCAAAGGTTAAATATAATGTGAAACATAATGGCTGCTAGGCTAACTGCTATTGTTTTGAGCCCAGCCTTAAGTGAAATGCCCTCATTGAACTGTTCTCAGTCTGAAATGAAAGCAGAGAGGTGCGGTTGGGGGTGGGTTTTGCACTCTCATCCATTCCCAAGAATCATCTAAACCTTTGGGTTAGGGAGGAACTGAATAACGTGACAATCCAGTCCAATTTCAGTGAAAATGAATAGGCAATCTTGGGCAGCTGTATGAAGGCTAGTTCATTAAGAGTTATCGCTATATAAATAAATCCTTCGCTTTTATACACTCGCACACACATACCGGTTGCCTCTTGTTAAACCATTTCACCATCAGCTCCAGATGTCCCAAACCCTGCCTGCTTTGGCTGCTTTAGAGGCCTGGATCTCACTAACAATGGAAAAACAGTGAGAGGGAGAGAAAGACAGGCATAGGAAGAGAGGAGGACTGAGGCAGTGCCTAAACAATCCAGATACTTTTGCCACATTATCTCACATCATCTCATTACAATTAATCATTCTAAACGTTAACGTCTAAACTCAGCTAGTGGCCCCAAAGGGTATTTGGACAGACTTGTGTTTCTTCAGCTACAAGAATTTTTATGTCCCAGTGGGCGGCTTTTATTCAAACTAACAGATTTTTATTTTTATTGTGTTCTTGTTATAGAAAAGTGTCTTGTAAAACTCTTTTACTGACTGTCCCATCATCACTTATTTTTGTTACTTTACAAATGCCTTTTTTTGTATTAATTTATCCTCGTCTCAAAACCGTATTTTCAGATTTCCGTAGGATTCTCTCTATTAACTAGTTGCTTATTAGCATACATATTGCTAGCATATTGGTTGTTTGTTAGTACTTATAAAGCACATATTAATGCCTTATACTGCATGACCATATTTTAGATCCCTTAATCTCTACCCCAAACTTAACAACTAGCTTACTAACAATTAATAAGCAGCAAATTAGAAGTTTATTGAGACAAAATGTGTACATAAGTTAAGCTAGTTAATGTGCAGCTAGTTAATAGTGAGAACTGGTCCCCACACTAAAGTGTGACCAGAGTTTTCTATTGGCCTTTGGATTATTGCAGAAAATAAGATCTTTGACCTAAACAAAAAACATTTCGTTCATTATGATAATCTTGATAACCACAGTGAAGCTTAAATAGTCACTAGAAGTAAATAGTTAAACGTAGGTTTTAAACTACACCACAGTCGAATGACTTGACAATAAACTTTCAACAACTCTTTCAGTCTTTCCTGGAAAGTTTGAGTTGAATAGTTCACAAGAATGTGATTGTAAACACAATGACGCTGTGAAAGCGAACTAGTTAGTATGAGTTTACCTGTTCATTGTGTTGAAGTTTAGAGTCCCTGACAACCTCTGTAGCCCATTTAGCCACTTGTTAGAAACCACCTGAAGTAAAAGCTTTAAAAATCACTACTGATGTTTTTTTTTTTTTTTTTGCTTGTGTTAAACCTAGACCTTATTTCAGGCATTCAACCAAAAACACATTGATTGAAATGTGAGCTTTGAGATAGGTTTGATGGCATTCACAGGACCTGGATTTTAAAACTGCATTACCATGCAAAAACAAGATCATCTGGATGCAATTTTGTCCTAGGCATAGTTACATTATAACAAGTACATCATTTTGAATGAATCAATGGTCGTAGCTCTGCACTAAACACGGCATCATAGAAATAACATCTGGCACAGTGACAGATAATGGTAGTTATTACTGGAAGTAAGAAAACATTAACTGTACAGCTGGGGATTGACAGAGATTTTGTTTCACAAGTTCTTAATTCGATTTGATTTCAATTTTGATTCAATACTGATTTATTGGGATATATTGAAGGTACAGTACCAAAAAAACAACAACAACAAATTCCAAATTTGTTGAGTCCAAATTCAGTTGCTATTCATTTTTAGACAATCAATAATCATAATCAACACTCAAACAAAAAACTGATTTGTATAAAAACATTTAAATTGCACATAATGCAGTTTATATCAGCTTTTCAATGATATTGTTATTCTCCAATTCGTTGTTGAAATATAAATAGAATTCAATAGGTGGCTATAACAATCCTCTAAATTCCAAGCCAGTCACTCACATATGTGACTAAAGTCACTAATGGTGACTAAATAATGTCTATTGTTAGCCATTAACTAATAAACTGGTATATTTAATTTGCCAGTGATTGAGTTAGAGGCCAAGAATAAGTTTAGCACAGACTTCACGTTTGAGAGTTTCATTCTCTGTGTTTTTGCAGCGCAGTTAGTGCACTACTCCTGTCAGTGAATGCGCAGGGTAGTCCAGAGTTTTGGATCTAAGTGTCAGACTCATTTCCTGGAGAGTGATTTCAGCAAATCAGTATGTAGACAATGTAATAAATATTCATTAATCTCAGTAACTCATCAGATGCTTAGCACATTTATATAGTTATTAAACTCTCAAAGAGTTTATCATGGTAATATACAGTGCATGGCAGTGTTAATGTCTTTGGTCTTGGCGAAATAGATCTGCTACTCTGCTGCTGTGGCAGAGCAAGTACCAAGACTTGCTAGTGCCAATACATCCACAGATGTGCTGTTATTAGCATGTAGGAAATACTGCTGCGGAACATATAACATATATGAAATAACCCTCATATAACATACATGACCTCACCCTGTAGCAGATCTATACAGGTGGAGCTGGGGAGGTGGAGGGTTTCTGAAGCACTGCAACTGCTACAGCAAGCACTAGCCAAGTATTTTAATGTTGAGCAGCAAGCTCACTGGCTGCTGATGCAAATAAAACCAATCAGATGTGCCATACAGTTAGCGATGTGATTACTAGTAGATTGATTTAAGGACCTATCAGTCTGCACCATCTAAAGTTTCATGACAGAACTTTGCATTAAGATTAGTATTATCCTATCAGTATTATTGTTGAACACTGAATGACCAATAATGTCTCAACAGCAGCAGCCTATAATTCTGTTTATGAATATAGAATATAGAAGTATAATTCTATTTAATATGAAAAATATGCATACATTTTCATTCATACATGGTTGTCACATTTTAGTTTGAATTTCTAAAGTTCTACCATTAAGCAATGCTTGATTGATTTTTTTTTTTTTTGCATGTAGTTGTTGCTTTCAAATCATATTACATATGAATGTATCTATGAAAGTGTCACTGTGCCATTTTGTGAAGATAAGCTGGTGTGATTTAGAGTGTGCCAAATCATACAAATGCAATACAGCACGCCTTGAGTACCTTATTGCTTTTATAAATGGCTTACCACACAATACAAATATTGCAACATTCAACCTAAACTGCTCTCTCTTAAATGTAGCTTTGGAAAATGCACAAGTTCTTTCACAGGCAGATTTCCCAGATATGACTGGCACTTCACTTTCTGTGAATGTAATAAATTGCATTTGTTTTAGAGGAGTTTTCTTGCACAGAATCCTGCATAAAGGTCAAACTAGTCAAATGTAAATTGAAATACAGATAGAAGGCAAAAACGAATGAGAAAAGAGTTTAAATTTAATTTAAATTTCAAAGTAAAGTTTCACATGCATTACTACTGAAATAAGTATCAAGACTGTTGATCTTTGTCTTAATTCAAAGTCAGTGGAATATTGACAGCTGGCATCACACTCATTCAGACAGACAGCTGTTCTGGGAAGATGCTGGATACTCGAATGATTTCCCTCAAAGGAGCATAAAAATGTGTCAATGTAGTTTTTGAACTGCTGCTTTAAAAAAATCTTTTTCGCACAGCTGTAAATCTCAAACTCGGCTATTCCTCTAAGCTTGTGAATCTTTATTGCTCCCTTGATGTTCGACTATAAGTGTCCAATATGTCTGTTTCTCCCTGCAGATCAGGAAGTGTGCAGCATCACTGGAATGAAATATATAACTTTGTGGAACATCTGGCCCATAAGTTCATAAGGTAGGCAAAGTCAGAGTCTCACAAAAATCTGTGAGTCTGCATAACTTTTTCTATATTATGTGGATGAAAAATTATTTTCTAAATTATTAACTAAAATATTGAGTGACTAGTTGCATCTCTAATTTTTATTTGGCTTAATAAACGTTCCGTAAATTATTTTAGTGAAGTACAAATAGGAATATGCTTTTAAAATGATAATTTCAGTCTAACATACATGTTTGGTATTGTATCTAGCCCTCAGTTGCGGATGTCCTTCATTGTGTTCTCCGATCAGGGCAAGATTTTGATGCGGCTTACAGAAGACAGGTGAGTGAATTAATGTTATTTTTATTATTTTGTGATTTAACTCAAGTCGTTAAATGCATTGCAGGCCTATCAACTTTTGCAGTCTGGAAGGGTTTTGACTGTAGTATGGGTTTGTGCCAACAAATGACTGTAGTTTTACACTTCTATTACCAAAAATGAAGGCCAAATCTGTCAGAATCAGTTATGTGACAGTTAATGATGACCCATAAAGAATGGCACATCTGCTGTAAGCATTCCCTGGTCTTGACGATCGTCTTCCTTAAAGGGATAGTTCACGTAAAAATTTATATTCTCTCATCATTTATTCACTTTCAAGTTGTTCCAAACCTGTATGAGATTGCTTCTTCTGTTAAACACAAAAGAAGATATTTTAAAGAATTTTGGTAACCAAATAGTAGCCGGTAGTTTTGACTTCCATAGTAGAGAAAAAAATACTATGGAAGTCAATGGCTACCAGCAACTGTTTGGTTACCAACAAACAGGAACAATTTGTGGATGAGTACATGATGACAGAGTTTTCATTTTTGAGTGAACTATTCCTTTAAAACAGCACTTCAATGACTTCAAAATGTGGCTCACAGTTTCTAAAGAAATGTCATGTTTGTATGCCAAATTCTTTGTGACTAGGGCTTTTCCATGTTTCCAGAAAAGTGCTGGTTGTCAATGGTTGTCAGTGCCAATTAATATTATTCATGGTATAATTTGTCTGTAGTTGTTGAAAATCTGCTTCATCCAGAATAAACGTACACTCCTGGTCTCCTGAATCCTTGTGTGTGTTACCAGTGTTTGGTGGTTACAGTAAAACATTGCACAGACGTAGCAAGGATAGAGCACGATTGTGGCCATGAGGTATTTTTCATGACCTTTTCGCTCTCTTTCATTGTGTGCATTTGTCAGGGAACAAATACGGAAAGGTTTGGAGGAACTCGAGAAAGTGCAGCCAGGTGGAGATACTTTTATGCATGAAGGCATTCAGCGGGTGAGTGAGCCAATAGCAACCATCTTGGCGTCAGTACCGCCCACCCAGCTATGACAAATAGCTCGAAATATCCTTCACGAAGGTTATGTTTGGCCACTACTCAGACAAATGGACCTAAAAACATAAAACTGTTGAGTTTTTAAATGATCTTTCACAGCTGGGTAGATTTATTCCTCATCTGTCCGTGAAATAACCAGTTACTGTGAATGTTGTTTGATCTGCATGAGATTACAATATTTCTGATGTTTTTCTTTTCTCTTTTTTTTTGTGCTACTAGGCCAGCGAACAGATTTACTATGGTAACACTGAGGGTAGGCCCATTTCAAACACATCTTGTTGAAAGAAGAAACAGTTTAGACTAGTTTAAGTAATCTTCAATTTGGTCTTAACTGGTTTTAGATTACTGGCACGAAATGGTTAAATTTGTTATAGTTGCAGGTAGACCATCTTAAAGGGATGGTTCACCCAAAAATGAAAATTGTCGTCATTTACTCACCCTCATGTTCTTACTCATAAATTCTTACTTCTGTAAAACACAAAAGAAGATATTTTGAAGAATGTTGGCAGCCAAACTGTTGATGGTAGCCATTGACTCCCATTGTAGGCTGTGCTGTGCAGGTAAACCTCACTCCCCTGATCTCAAGAAGTGCACTAGAGACTGATGCTAGAGACTGTGGTCTTTAGCATCCTTGCTAGCATACCCGCCTCCCATGCCGAAAATGCCGAATCCCGCGCAGAGCAAGAATGAAGGGAGCAGACCTGGAGGGGTTACACATAAAATGTAAAAAAAAAAAATACTATAGAAGTCAATGGCTATCGTCAACTCTTTGTTCTTCTTTTGTGTTTAAAAGAAGAAAGAAATTCATACAGGTTTGCAACAATTTGAGTGTAACCTGATCTCATGACAAAAATGTACCTGTGGGAAGCTTTTCGCAAAACACCGAAATACATACCAATAAGTACATATCACTGCAGTTTCCAACAGAAACGGAACTGGACTTAGGATGTGGAGTCCTTGGGTACGAATGCCGTGAAAAACATGACTCAAGATGAAACAGCTGAAAGAGGAGAGATCGAAAAACAAGCTAAATCGGCATGCTTGCTATTGCGTTTTTACATCAGATTCGCTTTGGTTCATACAGTCGGGTAGGTTTAGGTGTAGTGCAGATGGTACGTTATTTTAAAACATCGCAGAGCATTAGAGTTATAGCGCCACTCAATGGACATTTCAAGTCAGAACTGCGGTGACATAAAACGTTCCATATGTACGTTCATCTTTTCTGGGGGAAAAATAAACACTCTTTTAGCGCCACTCAGTGGACATTTCACATCGAATATGTCACGAAATGTACATGGCGCTACGTATTTCGCGTCTTGCTAAAAAGTTCCCACAGGTACGTTTTCGTTATGAGATCAGGCTCGAATAAATGATGACAGAAATGTCATTTTTGGGTCCTAAAACCAGTCCCTGATAGCACTCGTACATCACAGAGATGTCTATTTGACGTCTGCATTTACATCTGCAAGACGTATTTTTTAGAGTGTTTGCTCATCTGCAATACGTCTAAAGGACGTTTCCTATTAGATGTCTTTAAGATGTTTATGATTTAGAATGTACCTAAAACTGACATCTTACAGACGTCTGTCAGATGTTTGTACACAGCAGATGCTTTCCAGATCAAGCGATCTTTAACAGACGTCCTGCAGTCGTACGTGTGTTATCTGGGGTATGAAATTGATGCTTATACTGTGGTAACCTGCAAGGCGGTCTTAACTGGTTATTTAAGCTGGTGACCAGCTGAGCCAATTTAGCTGATCTAGGCTGTTTCAATTGAACATATTTACTGTTTATCCCCCTCATATTGTTCATTTAGAAATCAAAATTACTTGCTACTACTAGCTAGTTTCACTATGTTGGATGTTGCTCTGTAAAACGGATAAAAAATGTGGCAATCAAAATCTGGCATTAAGTTGCAAACATGATGTAAACTTTGTTTCTGTGTGAAGGATACCGCACAGCCAGTGTGATCATCGCCCTCACAGATGGAGAACTGCATGAAGATCTCTTCTATTACGCTGAGAGAGAGGTGAGAATGATGAAAGACTGAAGAAGAGAAAGAAAAAGAGTGGAGGGGTTTGACAGTACCTTGTAAAAAGAAGTTTGCTTTATCTTAATTTTAAAAAATACTTTAAAAGAATATATTTAAACACAAACTGAATGTAATGTTTTTGGACACTTGATTGCATGTTAATGCAATTTCATTAAAATGTATCGTAGATTAAATTTGTATCAATTGCAATTATTAGCTGCAACTATGACCCTCTTAAGTAGGACTTAAGTACACCTTTGTAATTTATAATGAAATCTATTGTCTTTGAAATATGGTTAAAGGGTTCTGCCAAATGTACACTACTTGGTAAACTAAAATATGCTTTATTGTAATTTCTGTTGTAACTTGTATGTCATGTACTTAAATATATTTTTAATTACACATTTGTATGATGAAATGGCAATTTAGTACATTTAAAAATGTTAAGTAAGTAATACATTAAAAACACACTACAGTTATAATTATAATGAAGTACTTTACCTGTGCTTTAGTATGTTGCACATCATAATCATAAGTGTACTTAAAGCATGACAAAATATTATTAAAACATAAAGATGTAAAATGTACATTAACACTTTTAATTTGACATTATTACAAAGTGCATTTTAAGTTCACTGAAATGCTATTTTATTTCATTAATGTTATAGTATCTGCAAGTTTTTTATAGACTTTTTAGGATTTGAAGTACACAACGAGTGCGCATTCAGTGCAATTAAGAGTATTTCATTTTCACAAGGGGTGTCGTCACTGAAAGCAATGTTTACTTTGGTGTTCACAAGGTGAAGTCAGGGTCATCCGTGGCCCATTTGAATTAATTTGCATGCTGGGAATTACATCACACATTTCTCTTTTCTTCATCATCCTGTAACACAGATGGTAACAATATTACAACAGTATCAACCAATAAGAACCATTGCTTAAACAAATGAATAATAAAGAACAGCAAATCTTATGAGCTATTATAAATAGTATAAATAATCAACATGTATCCCCCCTGTCAACAAGCTTGGCCCCTCCTTTGGTCCCCCCTAAATTTGGAATCACACCAAACAATTTTGGGTGAAATGCGCAGTTTGTCCTGTAAACTATATATAGGCCTATATAAGAAAAACATCACCAGCTGCTAAATTAAAATCTGCATTTGGCTGGCTGGCACAGAGCCAGAGACACAAGCGTTTTTAAAGCGCTGCGCATTATAACCAATCACACACGATTCTGTTGAGCTTATGAATGCAATGACCAATCAGAGGCGTTCAGATGAGTCACCGCTGAAACACCGCTGTTTCGTCACCGCGCGCGCTGGCTGGCTGAATTCTCTGGCTAATTCTCTCATCAGAAACAACAAACTGAAGATGTGCGAATGTAAGTAAGATATTAATTTTCACAGTGTAAACAGCTTTAGAGATTATTTTGGGAGTTTGTGAGAGTGCTTGAACTCGCTGGACTGATGTGAAAATGTTCTTTGATAATGTAAACACGCTTTTTGTACAATGAAAGTGTTATAATTAGTAACTTACAATGTTTTTATTAAATTCACATTAAATACAAAGTCAGTCGTATTAAAAATATTTTATGGTATGACACCCATATCTGGTACTTAAGTAAAAAGATGGATTTTAATGCAAAGTTAATAGATTACACTATTAGGCTACTTTGCCCATCGCCCATTATAGATCAACTAACATTATCTATAAAGGTGCAAAATGCATTTACTTACACATATTTGAGAATCGAGATATTTCATGATATATTTTGGGAATATTTTGAATAAAAAAA